TGGCATCGACTGCTGGCGCTTCGGGGCTACCCTAGACCTTGCCATGACAAATGACACATGGACTTTGTCACCAACCTTCGTTGCGAGGTAAGCTACAGAACCATATGCCTGTTCGGAGGCGTCACAGAAGACGTGCAGAGTGTAGTCGGTGGCTTCAGTTGCAGCCTCCAGTGGCGTGTAGGTTCGTGGCAGGGTGATGTCCGCCAGCCTGGGGAGTTCCCTCTCCCAGCTGGACCAAGCCTGAACAATATCAAGAGGAAGGTTTGGGTCGTCCCAGCTCCTCTTCTTCACCCACAACTTCTGAACAAGCACTTTGGCCCTCGTAGTGTAAGCAATAATGGCTCCGAGAGGGTCATATTGCCGGGCAAGCACCTTATATATGTGGTGCATAGTGGGAGTCGCACTCTCCATTGGCCTTGACCGGTAACCAAGTCAATCAGTCGGACAGTGCCACATCAAGCCCAGAGCTGGCTCTTGAGGGTCAGCGCTCTTCTCTGCTAGCCATAGCTCTGTACTCTCTGACCTGGCAGTGGATGGTAGATGGGAGACGACAGCAGTGATATTGCTTGCCCACTGCCGTATCTCAAAACCCCCTAAGGCTAGACATTGATGCATCTTGTCCACAAGGAGCTTGGCAGACTCAGGTGTTGAAAGGCTCTGAAGACAATTGTCCACGTAGAACGACTGCTCCACTGACTGCAGTACGTCCTCATTTCCCTTTGCATGGTCTTTGACATGCTTTTGCAGCGCAAACGTTGCGCAGCAGGGGCTGCTTGTTGTGCCGAATGGCAAAACCTGCCATTGGTACACGTCAGGTTTCTCCTCCCTTTGCAGGTTTCTCCAGACAAACCTCAGCAGTGGCCGGTCCTCAGGCAGGAGACGAACCTGATGGAACATTGCTCGTATGTCCCCACTGATGGCGACAGCATACTGCCGGAACCGCAGGAGTACGCAGAGAAGGGATGGTCCAAGTGTTGGACCAGGAAGGAGTTGCTCATTAAGTGAGAGACCACGGTAAGTAAAGGAACAGTCGAAGACGATCCTTGCCATTGTGATGGACGAGGTGATGGGGAATGAACCAGGATTCATGGGAGTCATCCACTTCTTCTGTAGAAAGTTTAGTCACACACCCTCCATCGATGAGCTTTTGGATCTCTGCTTTGTGAACTTTGGCCTTAGCTGGATGTTTAATGAGTCTGTGCTCGGTGCTGCGAAGCATTGGCATAATTGCTTCAGGAGTGGCCATTAAGGGTGGAGCGTCCTTGACGCGGGGAAGAGGTGTCGCCCACCTTCACCCTCTCAGTGCGGGTTTCCAGGATACTCACGGCTTCCTGGTCCAATCGGGACCATACTACTAGCCTTTCACTCTTGAACGGGAGTACATCAAGCTGCCAGAGACGTTCAACATGTTGGTAGAGGTCATCTGCTGCTGGCTTGACAGATGTGAAGTAGCATGAAGTCATCTGAGATGTTAGCCCATCTGGACCCTGGAGTGCCCAGCCGAGTGCTGTATTTATGGCTGTGGGTCCACCTTTGGGTCTGACCCTGACTGGCTCCGTTGCTGTGATCAAGTGGGTGCAATCCGAGCCAATTAGCAGTAACGGCTGAACTTTACTAAAGTTCTTCAGTGGAAGCCCCTTCAGGTGGCGATAACGCTTCTGGAGTGCGGTCACAGGGTAGGACTGCTCTGATAAGGCTATCTGACCCGCTGTAAAGGCACTCGTAATGAGATGCTGCTTAAGAGGCTGTGTCAGAGAGGCCACATGGAAGTCAACAGACTCACCAGTGAGGCTGGCCACATCTTGGCGGATGGTCTGCAGAAAGAGCGACTCAGCTTCTCCCTTGAGTCCCAGGTGTTGAACTGCAGCTGGCAGTATCATCGTTCGTTCAGCCCCATTGTCCAGGATCGCGTAGGTGTCAAGGGACTTGTGCCCATGGCTGATGATGACTGGCACCACCTTGAGGTAGACCTTCCCTCCTTGCTTGGAGTTGGAGAGCACAGCACGATTCTTTGGCGTGATGAGGTAGACGCGTGGACTTGGCTTAGTAACACAATGAAGAACTCTGAGGTGTATTTCCTGGCACTCACTGCATGCTTTCTTTAAGTTACAAGCTTCTTGCCGGTGGTTGGTGCGACCGCAGTTACAACAACGTTTGCCGTCTACTATCCATTTTTCAACGTTCTCCTGAGAGCACTGGATGATGTTTGAACACTGTGACAGGTAATGCTCATCACTCTTACAGAAGAGACACATCCTCTTGAATTTCTGCTGCTTAGCCTCTGGCCGAGTCGTCTCTGAAGGATGACGGTTTTCAGCTTCAGACTTGTCAGAGCCATGGTAAACTGAGACCTGATGGTTGTGAGGCCTTGTTGCAGGAAATTGATTGTCTCTTTTAGGGGGATGTATACCTTCACTCCGATGGCGCTGTGCCATCCTTTCAGATAGTCGTTGAGCTTCAGCCTTCCCCCTTAGCCAGTTGGAGAGGTCGCGGAGGTTGTACGGGTTTATGCTGTTTGTGTTAAGGCGACCTTGAACCTGTAGATGCTCCACAAAGCCGTCCCTTGAATGGTTAAGGAGCTTGCTAAGGAGCCGATCGACATGGCCAGTCGACATCACTTCCATCCCGTTGGGTCCCTCCAGCGACGTCAGCATACCTACTAATAGGTCAACGCTTAGCGCGAAGCTCTGGAATGCTTTGGTATCTCCAGCTTTGAGGTCAGGAGAGTTCAGTATAGTTGCGATCTCGCTTTGTACGAGCTGGTGTGGCTGTCCATATTGCCGCTGTAAGGCCTGCATGGCGGCCGTGTGAGGCTGGGCGTAATGCCTGCAGGACTGGGCTATTAACTGGGCCTCATCCAGAACTAGTTGTTCCATGAGAACACGGTACTTGTAATGCTCAGACAGTTCAGTGTGGTCACTGAGTAAGTTGTCCAGCGCCATCTTTAGGTCAGTAAATTCTCTCTCGCTGTCACGCATCAATTTAGGCAGTTTAGGTACTGGGACTGGCTGTCTAGGAGGCAGGGGAGCACTTGACCCATACAGTGACTGCTGTGGTTGAACGGAATACTGGACTGGCAGGGCTGGTACAGGCTGCTGCATTAATGGACCAGGGGTGGAAGGCACTAGTTGATAGGCTGGCTGAGCCGATGGGCCAGGCTACAGTTGGTACGCCGATTTTAGATGACCCTGCTGGTACTGCGGCGGCTGGTACTGCGGCTGCTGGTACTGCGGCTGTTGGTACGCATACTGTGCCGGAAGGACAGGCAGAGACTGATACGCTGTCTGCTGGGGGACATCAGACTGTGTATAAGGTGAAGGTGCTACAGACCAGTTGTGTGGCACGTAGGAAGATTGCTGAGGCATAAACACTGGATGTTGGGCCACTGGCTGTTGTGTAGCTGGTAGCTGGTGAGCCGGGTACAGCGCTGGTGCGTACTGTGGTTGATATGGTGGTTGGACAGGTGCAGCCGGAACATATTGGTTTGCTGCGGATGTCGTCATCACTAGGCCACCAGGGTGGGTGGAGGGGGTCAGGAGGACAGGACTGAGCTGACCGCCCAGAGGCACAGCAGAGGACCAGGAAGGGATCTCGGGCGGACGGCCCGGGGGCAAGGGAGAGTTCAAAATCACCGGTGGATATCGATTTTATGGCTTTCCAGAATTGTCTAGGGTTGTTCAGGTTCTTTGTGGTAACTGACAGATAATACTTAGATTTAGCACTTTTGACAAGTGAAGTGAAGCTATTTCTTAGCTGCCTAAAACGCAGCCATTCTACCTCTGAGCCTGATTCCTAGCCTTTGCCCAGGACTTGTTTCTCTCATGTAGGAGAATAGATAATTCAGCAGAAAACCAAGGATTGTCTCGTCCCTTCACTCTAAATTTACGCAGGGGTGCATGTCTATCTATAATTTCCATAAAACCAAGATAAAAATAAAACCATGCAGTCTCAACATCATCACACAAATCGATTTTTCCCCAATCAAACCCAAACAGATCATGCACAAAACCCTGCTCCACAAAATGTTTTATGTCTCTCTTGATGATAATAAGAGGTTTAACCTTTTGGACCTTAGTGTCCTAATTGTGGCTACAACACAGTGGTCACTCAGATAATTCGCAAATACTCCCACAGCTGAGTATTTATAGGGAACATTAGTTAAAATGAGATCAATTAGGGAGGATTTATTTGGGGACTTAATATTAGGGCGAGTAGGACTGTCAGTGTCAACAATCTGAGTAACATTTAAAGAGATACAAAGGTTGTATGAAGAATGTCATTGCTATTTATATATATCCTTTATTTAACCAGGTTTCTACACTGTAGCTTTAAAACATGACATTAAAACCTTTTAATTGAATCTTGAACTACAGCAACATATGTTTCAAGTTTCAAGGCTTTATCATCACGTGCACAGCAGACAGTACAGTGTAGATATGGCAATGAAAAACTGAAGTCCCAGGCTCCTCCAACAGAGCAACATGAATATAGGACATAAAACAGATCAAATAGTGCAAGAGAATGTTTTGAGATGTGCACGTAGATACAAATAAAATAGAAATAGTGCAAGAAGAGTCTATATACACAATGTATACAAATGATATTATATAAATTACAGTTGTAATAAATTATAGCCTATAATATACATAATGGAATGTATGGGTTTTAGGAGGATACTTTAAGGGTTTGAGTTGCATCAAATTGCAGTTTAAATACATTATATAATAAACATATTGGTATTTATGGGTTTATATTGATAGGTTAAGTGTTTGTGTTGCATCAAATTGCCGAGTCATTGTGACCAATAGACTGAAATAAAGCTTAGTAAAAAAAAGAGAATCTAACACCACTGCAAAAAAAGGAAAAACGTCCATCTTGTGAACATTAGACGATCTATGTTTGTCTGACGACATCGCGTCGGTGGGCGGGGCGAAGCCAAGAGCTCGTTGCTGATTGGTCGGCGGGCCGGACTCACGTAACGTTAATGTAGCGGTATATAATCTGTGTGTGTGCAGCTCTGAGCGGCAGCAGCACGGTTTGGGTCGCACATGTTAAATGGAAGAAACCCAGTAAAGCGAGGGGAACAAAAACTACGTGAAATGAGAGAGTGAGCAGAAGAATAGACACAAAACTAGACCTCCTTCTTGAAAGACCTTCTGAGAGCTGGAGGAGGACACATCGTTATCTGTGAGTAACCTTCATCTTGAGCTGATATTAAGCTGCAGGAAGTGTGTTACTAAAGGGTCGCTGGTGTGTTATTAGCTTTGTTTATATGGAAAATGTGTGTTAATGGTGAGGGTTTCCTGTGTCCTCAGCTCACTCTGACACGATGTGAGTCATTCAGTTCAGAGCAGGGTGGGCGGGAGGTCTCTGCACACTCAGGCTGTATATCTATCAACTTCACTCATAATGCCCCTCTGTCGGTTAGTCGACTAAATGGTTCATTGCTCTCGGCCCACTTGGATTTATTTGGTTATAAATCCGTTTTTCTTACGGTTTTTTTCATGCAAAATAACTGATTTTTAATTTTTTTTATATAAAGTGGTGCTTTAGGCATTATCCAGATTCAGACTAGTTTATTATCCATCACATTTATATATAATTATTATTTGTCATGTCTTGTATTAATTCAAAATCAAATTAGTGTTATTTGACTTGGATCATAAGTCTGTTTTTTGACGCTTTTTTTCATGTAAAATGACTGATTTAAAACAAAATTATGATTTAAAGTGGTGCCTTTTTGCATAATTCAGAATAGAGTCATACAATTATTATTTTGTATGTCTTATATTTATTTATTTAATATTTTATTCCAAATCAAATGAGTTTTATTTGACTTGGATTTATCTGGTTATTAGTCCGTTTAAAAAAATAAAATACAATTGTAATTATGTAATTATTCGAGTTAATAGTTTCTACAAAGTAAAATATCATATAAAAAGAAAAGTTACAAATCCTCATGAATGCTTTGTATTACAATGTATGTACAATTTAAAGAATTAATTGACTTCAAGATACTATGATTTAAAGTGGGGCTTTTCATGTCTTGTAATTAATGAAGTGTGTGTGTGTGTGTGTGTGTGTGTGTGTGTGTGTGTGTGTGTGTGTGTGTGTGTGTGTGTGTGTGTGTGTGTGTGTGTGTGTGTGTGTGTGTGTGTGTGTGTGTGTGTGTGTGTGTGGTGTGTGTGTGTGTGTGTGTGTGTGTGTGTGTGTGTGTGTGTGTGTGTGTGTGTGTGTGTGTGTGTGTGTGTGTGTGTGTGTGTGTGTGTGTGTGTGTGTGTGTGTGTGTGTGTGTGTGTGTGTGTGTGTGTGTGTGTGTGTGTGTACCAATGACAGTCCTACCTTATACAGTGGGGTGACATTAATATCACTGTGTAGAAATACTTTGAAAAATTGCTCCACTAAATATAAAAAAAACACCATCAAAGAAGCCCTTTTTTGCATAATCTACTTCTCAGTAGTTAAGTAGGATTTTGAATGTACTTTATCCTGTACATTTGTATCATGTGGTATTACTACTGTATTAGTGAACTATGACTCCAGTACAATCAATCACCAGTGGGGCGATAAATACTCTGAAGCCAAAGTCTTGTATTTCAAATCTTAAAGGTGGGGTAGGTAAGTTTGAGAAACCAGCTGGAGTGCGCTAGAATCTGAAAATACACAACCGGAACAAATCTGCCACTTCCTCACAGAGCCCCTCCTCCAACACACACGAACACGCACATGACCAATGAGGGCACGAGATAAGTTTGTGCACAGATGGAAGGCTGACAGGCAGGTAGGCCATCCAGTTACTTTAGCCGGCTCAGATGATTGGTCGTGCTTTTTACAGCACTACGGCTTCCACTGATGATATTTTGTAATGGATCTATTGTTTCTCAAACGTACCTACCCCACCTTTAAGTTAAAAAGCAGAACAAATCAGAGAAGCCATTTCTTGCATAACAAGTAGCTTTTAATACCTAAAGTACAAGTAGGATTAATGCAGTACTTTTACTTGTAATGGAGTATTTTTATAGAGTGCATTAATAATAATAATATATTTAATTTGTTAGCGCTTTTACAGGTGCTCAAAGACGCTTTACAAATATAGTGAAGAGAAAAGAAAAGGAAGGAACAACAAATAAATATATAGTTAAAGTCAAATAATACAAAAATAATCACACATTAAAAGCCAGATTGAAGAGGTGAGTTTTTGTAAGTTTTTTGAAGGTGGGGGGGTCAGTGCAGTCTCTGATGGGTTGTGGGAGTGAGTTCCAGAGGGAGGGGGCAGCGACGGAGAAGGCTCTGTCCCCCCAGGTCCGGTGATTGGTGCGGGTGGGGATGGATAGGAGGTTGGCTTCTGATGAGCGTCTGAATACCATTGTTGGACAGTGGGTGATCAAAGTGACGAACACAATAATAATAATAATTATAACTCCGTAATATAACGCTTATTATTAACAGCAAATATAAAATCAAACACTGGGAAATGTCATGGGTCGTGCTCCGCTCTGACTAGAAGGCCAGGGGGAAGAAGTGTTGATTTAACCCCCAGGTCTGGGCCGACCTCACGTGGAGGGGCAGAGTGTTCCAGAGCCTGGGGCCAGCCGCTGCGATGGCTCGGTGCCCTCGGGGTTTGAGCCTGGTCTTGGGCGCTACCAGCAGCAGCTGGTCAGCAGACCTTAAAGCTCTGCCTGGGGTGTAGCGCTGGAGGAGTTCAGCTATATAGGTTATGCATAGTTACTTTAGATCAGGGGTGGGGAACCTTTTTCCTCTCAAGGGCCATTTCAATTTTTTCAACATCCTCCGAGGGCCGTACAAATTATTGACCTCTGCTTAAAAAAACTAAAATCACAGCCCATTCATTTCACCTTTCTTTCATGCTGTGCAAAGAAAAATCAACCTCTGAATCCAGATATCTGGCCATGACACGCGTACGCATGCACGTGCACGGTTGTGGCATGACCTCCAAAACAGAAAGATATGGACACAAGATGTGTGCAAATGTATTTTGTTTCCTATCCATGTGAACATGATTTAAGTGGGGGGGACCTAACCTCCTCTAGGGGGGTCCGGGGGGGGGATAATCCCCCGGGAAGATTTATTTTTAAATGTTGAAGTTAAAAGCATCAATCTGGTGCACTTTGAGAGCAACATGAGGTGACCTATGGATACATCTCTCAACACCCATATGGAACAGAACTGTAAACAGATTTTCTTTTTCTTTATGGATATTTTACAAATCACTCTCCTTTCAAACTGTAACAACTTTTTTTTACTGTCATATAGTATTTTATACCTGTTTACTTTATTCTCTTATTTTTTTATAACTATAATGATCATATAAAGATGTGCCTTTACCTCACTGGTTGGAGAAAAAGCTTCTTATATTCGTTAGCATAGCTAGCTAACCAGATGCTAATAACAACAAAGTTATTGACTGTCTGTATGATCAGTGTGACAGATGAACAGATCGTCACTGGGCTTTCAACTAAAGACACAGCCACGCAAAAACTGCAGCATGTGTACGGCTCCTTATGGGTACTGCCATTTTTGGAAGTGCCGGAGCGGAGCTGCGTTCTGGTGCTCTCCGTCAGAACTACACCCCTGTCAGACGAGACATATACCACGTTAGGCTTGTGTTGTGTTCAAGGACCCTGACCTTGGCCAGGAAAAACAGGCACTCACTTGTTTAATTATTTTACGGTCTAGATTTCCTTGCCTTGCCTTGTGTGTGTGTGTGTGTGTGTGTGTGTGTGTGTGTGTGTGTGTGTGTGTGTGTGTGTGTGTGTGTGTGTGTGTGTGTGTGTGTGTGTGTGTGTGTGTGTGTGTGTGTGTGTGTGTGTGTGTGTGTGTGTGTGTGTGTGTGTGTGTGTGTGTGGTGTGTGTGTGTGTGTGTGTGTGTGTGTGTGTGTGTGTGTGTGTGTGTGTGTGTGTGTGTGTGTGTGTGTGTGTGTGTGTGTGTGTGTGTGGTGTGTGTGTGTGTGTGTGTGTGTGTGTGTGTGTGTGTGTGTGTGTGTGTGTGTGTGTGTGTGTGTGTGTGTGTGTGTGTGTGTGTGTGTGGTTAAACTGAGTCACAGAACCAATAACGGTGAAACAAAAAGTGACTTTCAAACCAGTGCTTCTTCATTACAACAAAGCGCACCATGAGCCATGTCAGTACTAACTCATAGATCATAATAAACAGAAGGTTGGCAGCCACTACTCTGTCAGTCGGTCTGTATTACCGCGCAGCAGTTATTATCTTCATAGCTGCACTTGTTACATTACATTGCATTTAGCTGACGCTTTTATCCAAAGCGACTTACAATAAGTACATTCGACCAGAGACACAACCTTGAAGAAAACAGAATCATAAAGTACATCAGGTTTCATAGAGCCAAACATTTCAAGTGCTACTCAACTGGCTTTAGATAAGCCAGTCCTTTATTAGTGTAAAAGTGCTTCGTTAATAGTTCTATCGCTCGAAGTGGAGTCGAAAGAGATGAGTTTTCAGTCTGGAAGATGTGCAAGCTATCTGCCGTCCTGATGTCAATGGGGAGCTCATTCCACCATCTTGGAGCCAGGATAGCAAACCCACGTGTTTTTGCTGATGGGAACTTGGGTCCCCCTCGCAGTGCGGGTGCAGCGAGCTGTTTGGCTGATGCAGAGCGTAGTGCACGTGCTGGGGTGTACGGTTTAACCATGTCCTGGATGTAGGAAGGGCCAGATCCATTCGCAGCATGGTAAGCAAGTACCAGTGTCTTGAAGTGGATTCTAGCAGTTACTGGAAGCCAGTGAAGGGAGCGGAGGAGCGGAGTGGTGTGGGAGAATTTAGGAAGGTTGAAGACCAGACGAGCCGCTGCATTCTGGATGAGCTGCAGAGGTCGGATGGCACATGCAGGTAGACCAGCCAGGAGGGAGTTGCAGTAGTCTAGGCGTGAGATGACGAGAGCCTGGACCAGAACCTGCGTCGCTTTCTGTGTCAGCTGGGGACTTGTGCGGGCGTTTTCTCGTTAGTGCGGAAATCTTTAAAGTGTCACTCGAGGTGCCGATGGCAGACGAGAGACTCGCCTCAGGCTGACTTCAGAGACATGCAGCCTTTCTGAAGTGATAGAGACTGAAGCTCAGGGAGTGTCGCCTTAAAAATAACATATGACTCGGATAAAGCAGCTGGATCAGAGCTGGCCATATCTGCAGCAGAGGAACATGAGTCCTGTTGG